TGAAGGGAGGGCTAGGAATGGGGAAAAAATCAGAAGCAAGATGCATTATGTAAAGGTACAATTCCCAATGAGAAATGTAATTGTGTTGTATACCTACAATGTACCAATAAAAGAATTTTACAAAACAAAAAAAAGATTAATTTTCACATATGAATGAGTGTGGGGTTATAGATTTTACCATATTGTGTTCTTCGAGGGATTAAGGATTATTTTGGGAAATTTAGGATTTAATTGTGAATTTAGGACTTAATTGAAGATGGCTCTACCTTTGTGACCAACTCGTACTTGAGAGAAGATGGTCACAGACTTAATACTCCAAATTTTTCATCATAGTCAGCAAATCATTTGCTGTACAACCTAGAAAAATTCCTTTCTCACTTTTTCCACATTAAATATCAAGTGTAAACCTTATCAATGAGGAAAAAGAAAAATTAAAAGTTAGTGTAAGCAGTTATTCCCTATCATTCTCAGACAAAAAAAAAGTTAGGGTCTTTCATTTGTTTATATGGTTTTGTGCTACTGGGGATTGAACCCAACAACTTGCACTTGCACTATTGCTTTGCAAAAGAAGTATTTTCCAATGTGGAATTAACATTACTTCAGATTACTTCAGACTTTATTTTCTCCATAATGAAAGTAAATCAGTTACTCTTTCTCTTCCTCTTCTCTACCTTTATCACTTTCCCTCTGCTTTCTCTCTCCTTTTCCTCCCCTGGCCTCTCCTCTTCCTTTCCTCTCTTGAATAAGCAAGACATATGTCTTCATGGAGGGGGTAGATGACTGGGAGAAGGGATGCCCTGTGTGAGGTGCTGCCATCTAACCAGGTGAGGGAGCTTCATGCAGGGGCTGTGTAGCACTGATTCTGGAGCCTGAATGCGGGTAAGGAGAGCTCTTATATGGAGGGGGCAATGTATTGTGGGGTGTTGAACCCTAAGTGCACTAAGGATTGGCTCTATTTGGGGAAGAACAGGATATTTCCATGTCTCAAAGAATTTTCCCTTTAGAAGAGGTGAGAGGCCAGGGTTGGTAGCCTGCTCTGCTCACACCAACATTTTCTGCTGTGGAACTCTGAACAGTCTGAGAATTCTAAATCCCAGCCTTCGAGGTTAGAAAGGGATATATAGGGCTGGGGA